GGCCAGAGCGGATCCCACCGGCCAGCGGGTCCGCGGCCCCCCAGAAATTGAACCAGAAACAAGCTGAGCACGGAGTGCAACAACATCCATTTCCAATGGAGCCAAGCGCTCCACCGCTGCCTGCAGCGATGAATTCGCTTGGTCCACGGCTAGGAGTCGCTCCGACAGAGAGAGGTAGTCCTCAAGGCGAGGCAGCCGGCGCACGCCGTGCTTAAATTGCCAAGAGTATCCGCACAGCAATATGCTATTTCAGCATGACGCTCAGCAAAGCTCCGATCACAAAGGACCTCGTCCTCGAGGGCTCGAAGAGCATCACGAGTCACCGGACGGCGGTCGATCCTGCTTCCACCGACTCTTCTCGATGAGTACGGTGACGTCCATTATCACGTAGAACGTCTAGTGAGACGACGTTGTCACCGTGGTCAAATCCAATATCTGGTAAAGTGGCGGGGATATCCCGACTCCGAAAACTCGTCGGAGTTTGAGACGCCACTTCGGTAAGATTGTCCAGTCGCCGTGGACGCTTTTGATCAGAAAGATCGGACGCCTCGCGCTTTCCGGCAATAGCCAGGAAAGTAGAAGGGCCATGAGCTGAGCTCAAGCAATGACCCTGAGCTCTTGCGGTCGCAGACACAGAGCTCGCGGGAGCGTTAAGGGTTAACCCATACGTCGCAGGGTGATAATCCGAAGGAAGTCGACGGCGTGCCTTGAGTTTGGCCAACTCAAATCGGAGGTGTCGCTCCACACGCACGTCCACTTCGTTGTGGCTCAACTGCAGGTTATGCAGTGAGGAAAGTTTCCGGTGCAGTTGCATTCATCGCTCAAAACGCGCTTCGTCATCTGTAGCGCTTTCGCCAGGTGTGAGTACTACAGGTATTGTCCGCATTGCGGGTACACGAAGGCCACCTTGTTGCGCACGTAGACGAGTGCGATAAGCTTCCAACGGAAATTCTTGTGAAACCACGAAACGAGCTCGAAGAGCTTTCCGTTCGGCAAGCTCATCTTTTGTAATGGCCGGGGGTCGATGATGTGGAGGCGTAACGGTCGAGCTACCGCGTCCTTCGCTTCCACAGCGGGTTCCGCAGGGCGGAAGCCATATTCCACACAAGGGTCAATGACCTACCGTGAGTAGGCGCGCACCAGAGCCGCCTTACGAGCAGCTTCCAGCTGCCGCCTCTGTGCCCCGTCGAGGTCATTGGTGATTACAGCACGTCCTTCAGGTGACGAGAAGTAGGTCCGCAAGGCACGAGCAGGCTCGTCCCAAGCCGCTGGTGCGGCTCGCCTTCCTCGTCATTCCCTCCGGGAAAAGGAGTGTCGGACTCGTAGTCGAGGTCACTCGTCACCGATAGCGTGCGCGGAGCGCGACGTTCGGGCTCATCGAGCCTAGGACTTATATTTCTCGATGCCGCGGACTCACGGTTCGATATGGCACCGAGTGCAGAAGACGAAGTTGGGCTCTGCCCGTGTGCGCTGTTGGAACCAGCGAGACTTGGGGACTTCAGTGTCGTGGACACAGGGCTCATTGAGCACGGAAGTCGTATCGCTCCAACGCACACAGTGTCTAACGGACACGCAAGCCTCGTTTAGACAATCATCGATTGGAACTGTAAATGCTCTCAATCTTAATGGGGGAGAGTGTAACGGGGTTACACATACCCTGGTGACAGGGGTGTGTGTCAAACCAGATGGGCATGGTGTGACCACACCCAAACAAGAATACGGTATGGGGCTGGATAGCTAGTAGTTATACCTGTATTTAGATTTTCTATGCATGTATAGGAAAATATATGCATTTAAAATTAGGCGGCTTTGCCGCAGATAAAAATAAATAAAA